GTAGGTTTTCTAGCATTAGAAGCCCTAATGGAGTACCTACGAGTTTGTTGTTTCTTCCTAGAGTTGTTTGTTCTAGGGGTAGGAGAATACCTTTGTTGAGGTTTCTTTCTTCTAACCTCTTTGTGGTATTGTTGGGGTGTGTATATCTGCTTGCAGATATCGGTGTCTGCCATTTTTATCTGTTTGTTAATGGCGATATTTGTGCAGGTATCTTCCATTACTTTCATGATATGTTGTATTCTGATAGCTAAATTATTCATAACAGGATCAACCTGATTATCATTCCAGCTATCTCTAATTTTTTGGCCTAATTTACCCGGAAGTTTTAGGAAAAGTTTTTCTCCTAAATTTTTGTCTGTAAAACCTCCAGCTATAGAAGCATACATTAGATAATCTTGGGTAAATTCTTTTATTTTTCCAAAGTAACTTATGGAAAGTCTTTCGAGATTTCCTAAATAAATTCTTTGTCTAATAGTGTTACCATCGTTTACGGACTGGGCTGTAAAGATTCTTTGTATAACACTACAAAAATTGTAAATGTTTGGTCCTGGGTCGATCAAATTGGTTTTAATCTGGTCAGGAAAAGTTTGTTTAAATGATTCCCAACAAGCTCTAGCTATATCTCCAAGGTAGGGGTAGGAGAATACCTTTGTTGAGGTTTCTTTCTTCTAACCTCTTTGTGGTATTGTTGGGGTGTGTATATCTGCTTGCAGATATCGGTGTCTGCCATTTTTATCTGTTTGTTAATGGCAATATTTGTGCAGGTATCTTCCATTACTTTCATGATATGTTGTATTCTGATAGCTAAATTATTCATAACAGGATCAACCTGATTATCATTCCAGCTATCTCTAATTTTTTGGCCTAATTTACCCGGAAGTTTTAGGAAAAGTTTTTCTCCTAAATTTTTGTCTGTAAAACCTCCAGCTATAGAAGCATACATTAGATAATCTTGGGTAAATTCTTTTATTTTTCCAAAGTAACTTATGGAAAGTCTTTCGAGATTTCCTAAATAAATTCTTTGTCTAAT